TTGTCTCTGTTGCATTGGAGGAAACTCAGGTAGACTGTCCTGTGGCTCAGGCAAGGCTCAGTCTTGTATGTCAGTGTGTAGCATGCCATGTGGTCCTGGTGTGATAGGGAGACAACTTGTTCCAGACAGAAAACAAAACAAACAAAACACCTCCCCAAAACCCACCAGCAAAACTCAGGCAGTGGTATAGAGTGGAGCAGATCCTTGTTGGCACCCACACTTTGAGATGGTTAGTTAGAGGTTTGTCTTCTTAGCTAAGGTCCTCATACTGGCATCCTCTTTCTTAGTGAGCTAACTCAACCACTTACTCTTGCAGCCATGACCCTGATATTTTCTTTTAGGTTTGTGAGTACTTAGGGATGTGGTGACTGTTAGTAATCTGCCATCTGGGAAAAAAATCTCTCCATATAGTTTTAGTATGAACATTTTTTGAGTATATTTGACTAAATAAATAGAAAGTGGGATTTCTAAGTCTTTTGCTTTTCTAGATTTTTTTTTGCTTTTATTTATTGATTGGATTATTAGTTTTTCTGGGGTTTAGTTTTTTTGAGCTCTTTATATATTCTGGATATTAATCCCCTGCTAGATGAGTAGCTGGCAAAGATTTTCTCCTATTCTGTGGGCTTTCTCTTTATTCTGATAATTGTTTCCTTTGCTGTGCAGAAGCTTTTTAATTTGTTGCAATTCTGTTTGCCAGTTTTTGCTATTATTTTCTGAGCTATTAGAAAGTCATAGCCTATGCCTATTATCCTTGAGTGTTTTAACTATGTTTTTGTTCCAGTAATTTCAAAGTTTCAGGCTTACATTAAAGTGACCCATTTTGAGTTGATTTTGTATAGGGTGAGAGATAGGGATCTGGTTTCAGTGTCCTACATCTGGATATCCAGTTTTCCCAACATCATTTGTTGAAAAGACTGTCTTGTTTCCAACAAATGATTTTTGCACCTTTGTCAAAAATCAGATGGCTGTAGCTGTGTGGGCTTCTTTCTAGGTCTTCTTTTCCATTGGTCTACATGTGCGATCTTGTTACTATGGCTCTGTAGTATAATTTGAATCCAGGTATTGTGATATCGCCAACATGTTTTTTTTTTGCTCAGGGCTGCTTTGACTATTCAGGGTCTTTTATGCTTCCATATGAATATTAAGATTGATTTTTCTGTTTCTGTGAATAATGACATTAGAATTTTGATGATGATTGCATTTATCCTGTAGATCACTTTCAGTAATATGGACATTTCTGCAGTACTGGTTCTGTCAATCCATGAGTATGAGAAATGTTTCCAACTTCTAGTGTCTTCTTTAATTTCTTTCTTCAAAGTTTTATTGTTTTCGCTATAGCTGTCTTCACCTCCTTATTTAAGTTTATTCCTAGGTATTTAATTTTTTCAGGCTATTTCCTTACTTCTTTTTCAACCTATTTATTATTGATATATAAAAAAGCTTTTTGTATATATATATATTTTTGTATCCTTCTGCTTTGTTGAAAGTGTTTACCAATCTAAGTTTTTTTGATGGAGTTTTTAGATTCTTTTAATTATAGGGTCATATAATCTGCAAATAGGGACAACTTGATTTCTTCCTTTCTTGTTTGTATCCCTGTTATTTCTTTTTCTTGCCTTATTACTCTGGCTAAGAATTCAAGCACTATATTGTATAAGTTTCTCAAGAACACAGGAGTTCAAGAACATAATTCATTGTCAGTATTGTTAGTGTACTATCAGTAAAATATGTGATTTGATTACATTTTCATATTACCAGTTTTTAAGTTATTATCTCAGATACTTTGAGATTTTATATTGTCTAAAATATTTTGAACAGGGCAAGAATAATTTATACCCTTGATTGTATTTAAAGACATTTAACTGTTTATATTACACACATTTTATTTAAGAAGATGGTATAAATGTTTGTAAATTTCAACCAAGAAATGGTTTCTGTTTTAGTAATTTAAATTTTTATAACTATTGACTTTTTCAATGAAATATTTTGAATTAGAAACTGATTTGTAGATTCATATTAGGGTAATTATGATTAATTTTTCCATTGATTATGGGCAACATGATTCTTTGAAGTTCATCACATAGGACTTTTTGTTTTTTGTCATACTGGGGTTGAACTCAGGGCCTCTCACTTGTTTTTTAGAGAGGGTCTCATGCTAACTTTACCCTGGGTGGCCTTGAATTGGGATCCTCCTGTCTCTGTCTCCTGAGTAGATGGGATTAAAGGAGTGTGCCCCCATGCTTGGCACATAGAACTTCTTTAACAACTATTTTTCATTTACACATTTGTTTAATATTTGTTGCTTTAAAAATACTTGTTTAATGGAAGGTAACTTTGAATTGCTCTATGTTATGATGAGCCGAACTGATAATCTTTCTTTCTTGTTGTTGTTGTTGTTTTTTTGGTGTGTGTTACTGGGGATTGAACCCAGAGCCTTGTGCATGCTAAGCAAACAGACAAACACTGAGCTATATCCCCAACCCCAAAATCTTTCTTTGTATTATCCTTTTATTTATATATAACTTGTTTTGCTCAACAAAGAGATTTTTGCCTATTTTCAAAGATATACAAGTTTTTTGGAGTCCAGGATCACTATAGTTTTCTTGTGTTTGAGTGTTTATATTGTATTTGATGATATGTACTTGTTTAAGATTATTAATTCATTTTATGACCCTACTTAAATAATAAATGGTGTGGCTTTAGCTCTAGGGTAAAACTTGCACTCTTTAACATGGATTTCTTTTATGGTTACTATAGAGATACAATTATCAATTGTATTCAGTCATTCCCACACAAAAATGAATAGTGGTTCTTTTTCATTCATTGCTTTTATCACTAAGGAAAGAAAAACATTGTGTGTTAGTGGGAACTTTTGAAACTGTGACAAATACCTGATGTAAACAATTTAAAAGCGAAAAGATTTATTTTTTCCTCTTGTTTTTAGAGGTTTCAGTGTATAGCAAGCTGGATCCATTGCTTTGGGTCTGATATGAGACAGAATGCCATGGCTGCAGGAACAAGTGGAGAGGCTGCTCATTTGTGGCACCCAGCCTATTGAATGGTGCCTCCCACAGATGGGCTGGTTTTTCCTTCTTAGCTAATTGTCCCTGAACCCCTCCAACCACACCACAGACACCCCAGAGGTGTGTCTTACTAATCTCCTAAGCATCTCTTAATCTAGTCAAGTTGATAATTGAGGTTACATAGCACACATTTTAGAAGCAAATAAATTTGATTTAAAGAGAAGATTTAATTTACATTGTTGGTATAACTTTGTAATGAAAATCGTAGATTTTGGTACCAGTTTTAGTGACCAATTCTTATACTTCCTTTTAGTAATAAGTAAAAGCTGATCAACTGATTGTCGAGTACAGATATATTTCTCAGGACCAATCTTAAGCAAATTATGGGAAGCCCAATTTCGGAGGTCTTCACTACCTTGTATGTCCCTTCTCTACCGTTTAAATATTCAGTCGTATTTCTTTTTGATATCCACAACTCATATTGGCCTAATCTTCCCTTAATTTCCTGAATATTGTGAAAAGAATCTATTCTAGTTGGTCTGTGGAGGAGTAATGTGATTTTAATAAAGAATATAATAAATAGTGAATCATACTAATCTCAAGAATGGCTTATGAAGGTGCCCCATGAGGTACTAAGGTACATGAGGTGGGATTTTTTTTTTAACTTAGGCTTGTCTCATTCGCATCATATTTACCATGAATTATTTGCTTAATTATGAATCAGTTTCTGACCATGAATTTGTAAATTTGGGTAATATCAAAATTAATTTCTTCTCAACACCAGAGAATCAGAGTGCAAGATTTCTTTCTGTGTATAGTGCTGGATAAGACTGTAGAACTCTGAAGAACTGGAAGTAAAACACTCAATTGTAGTTATTTATATAATATTTATTTAAATTCATATTCATTATGGTATAGTTATATGAATAATTTAATTTAACTTATCAATATTTCAGATATAATATGCATGATTTTTAAATAGTTTAAAAACTATTAAACTATTAGGGAGATTAAGTATATAACCCCTTGCCCCAGTTTCTTTATCTTTATCTTTTTTACCTTTAAGTGTAAAGAAATCAATTTGTAAGGCTTTAAAATACTCATTTATGAAATCCTATGTTTTGTTTAAAATATTTATGCCTTTAATTCAATTTACATTAAGGAAGAAATTAAAAATGTTAAAAGGAAATTATTTCCAGTTAGCTAAGTGCAACCATATATATTACCTTGAAATAATACCTTAATAGCTTCAGTATCCATAAAATATGGAGAACACTTCAGGAGTAAATCATTTTAAAAGAGCAATAGAGTTTTAATAGAAGAACAGATCACCCAACTTCTCTTTTTTGTGTAAAATTGATTGAAATGTACAGTGAAGTGCTAAGTTTTTCTATGTAACGATCCTAATTTTTCATGACCATTATATATGACCAAGAATCTGTAGATAGAAATTGCTTCCCAGTACAGTGCACTCAGTTGTGCAAACTTATCTTTTTAGGGTCAAAGAAGAACACAAACCACAACCGACACAGTAAGTAAATGTGTTAAGTGCAGTAGATTTGACTCTTTTCCTCTGCCACCTTCTGCTTTCTGCACCTTTGATGGTATTAGCTCACACTAATACTGGATAGGCTGCAGCTATCTGGCTTGTAAGAGAGCTGCCTGCAGCTTCTTACTTCATCCACATAGTGACTGGATGTAGTTTTTTGCTGCCTGCTTGTGAACTGGTTAAGTGTTGAAACTTAATTTCCCTACCTTCTGACTGCCTGGATAATAATTGGAGCTCACATTTCCATTGGCTGTAGCTTTTGTGCCTGTGTATTTTTTTTTTTGTTGTTGTTGTGGATAAGAAAATATTTACCTTATGTTGTTATTCATTTGGTTATTCAGTCACATTATTTGCTTATTTAAACAGGTGGTTTCCCTTTAGTGGGATCACTGAACTGGTAAATAACGTTCTTCAGCCCCAGCAAAAACAACAAAATGAAAAGGAGCCCCAGACGTAAGTAAGCTGATCTATATAGACTAAATACTATCTGATAGTGTAACATACTGAAGAGTAGGTGTTAAAATACTGCCTGTGGCATATTCTGCCCTCAGAGAGAAAAATTGTTAGGTTAGAGTTTGATATTTCTACCTTTAACTAATCCATGGAAATCTAAAAAGAAAACAAGGATAACTTAATAGGCTAGTAAAAAAAAGAAGACGTAATTCCCTTCACCCCAATTGAATATAAATAACATAAACCATATTTCCCCAGTAAAATATCTTTCTTCAATAATGCAATGTATTCTAGAGTGTGTTTTTTTCAAAGAAAGTTCTAAAAGACATTAAAGCATTATTAACTCCTAAATTCAATCTTTGGTCATACACTTTTGGAATGGTTGTTTTTAAAATGGTTGAGTGGGCCTGGTGTGGTGGCTCACACCTGTAATCCTGGCTACTCAGGAGGCAGAGATGGGGAAGATGGTGGTTCAAGGCCAGCCTGAGCAATTCATTAGTGAGAATCTCCCTCCCACCTCCACATCTCAACCAAAAGGCTTGGCCTTTGGTTGACATGTGCCTGTCATCCCAGCTAAGCAGAGGCATAGGTATGAAGATGGAGGTCCAAGTTTGGCCCCAGACAAATAATGTGAAACCTTATCTTAAAAAAAAAAACTAAAGCAAAAAAATGGCTTCAGTTATGACTCAAGTGCTATTGCATTTGTCTAGCAAGTACAAGACCCTGAATTTGAACCCCAGTACTGGCAAAAAATGAATAGGCAAGTTTCTTTATTGTAATAATTCTGAGAACCCAATTCTGCTCCAAGGGTACTAGAACACTGTCTAATGAACTTATTTGCCCACGTAATGCTGTTTGCACAATTTGTTACCACACTGACATGAAATGTTAAAAATATATTGATTCCATTTCTTTTAGTTGTTGATATAATAAAAAACATTCTTCATAACTCACACTTATTTTTAATTTTGTAAGACACAAGTGACATAGTTCCCTTTGGTTTGCAGCCTGTTGACCCAAACTTGTCACAGTCCTCTGAACCAAGTGCAGGGAAGTCTAGAATGGCTTGTCATATATGCAGGAAGAGAGTAACCTGCATGTAATGAAAAGTAGTGATATCTTACTATAGTTAGTTTCTGTTTGATTTTCATTTATTTCCTCTGATGGAAATCTTAGGATGTTAAAAGTTAAAGGTTTGCCAAAAGAATAGTTACTGCAACAAGGGTGCTTTGAGCAGTAATCCCCTCACTTGGTAATGTTCATTCTCGTAAAATCCTGGAATGGCTTAGAGAAGGTCTAATTTTCACAAGACTGAAGGTTAAGGTTAATATAGATGTGTCTGCAGGAAGGAAATTTGCCATTTGTAGTGTTGCAGAGAACAGCTTTAAGTTTTTTAGTGGAATTATAGGACGAGTGTTTGTTTTCTCTTAGGTGGCAATGAAAACACTAAGGAAAATTAAGAATGATAACAGTGAAAATACCTGAAGTCATACCCAGAAAGGTTTGGTTGATCACTAGGGATACCAACGTATTGTAACAAATATGATTAACACCAAACAAAAAGATCTTAAAGAAGAGGAATGGAGATTTAGAAAATCAATTCTTTGTTGTTGGGTGGAAGTTGTTTACCTTATTTTGTCATTTACTTTATCTAATAGTCATTGGTTAGCTGTTTCTTTCCAAAAAATCATATGCTTTAGGGGGATTCTTACCACCCTTCTGTTTAAGGTTTTCTGATAAACTGATTTCCAACAGGCTAGGAAAAATGCTTTTAGTCTTTGAATTGTGAAACATGAGTCCAAGGATCAACATTTTGGAGCTTTTACTGAAGTGCTATTTTTCCTTTTGTCTTGGAAAATGAACCCAGGACTTTGTACATGCTAGGCAAGTACTTTACCCCTTGAGGTATGCCTCCAGCCCTTTTGTTTTTATTTTGGTTTTGACACAGTCTCACTATCTTTGCCTGAACTAACCTTGAACTTGTGATTCTCCAGCTGCTGCTTCCTGAGTAGGTGGGATTACAGATGTGTGCCACCACATCAGCTACTGCAGTGCTAATTGTTAACATGACTTATGAAATACAGCCTTTTCTGTCAAGAGTCAAAGGTAGTTTTTAAAAAACTTTTTTCATGTTTCTTCCAGAGACTGAATCTATAGGCATCAGTTTATAGAGAGTTGCTTACTAGGATAGTTTTAAAGACTGCTTATATCTGTTGATGAAAAGACAATACATTCCAGTGATTTCTTTGCTGTATTTACTCACATTAGCTTGCACTATAGCAGAATTGAGGATCATAAGTGAAATTTTAAAGTACATAGGGCAGTCTATTACTGCTTCATAAGGGTAGAGGAAATAGATCCCCCATGTTGATCTTACTGTTTTGAAGGCTAATGACAACAGAAATTGAAGAATATTGTCAATATAATTTGAATTTTAAAAATCCCACTTGTTATGTCCACTTTTTCTGAAGATTGAGGTTAATATGGACAAAAGGTGTTTTCACGTAAGATATGTACTTATTGGTGCTTGACTGGTCAAAGCAGTTGATAGGGAGTTAGGAAAGGGTAAAGGCAGTTTCTGCACATAGATGTTTCTAGGTAAAACACAGTTTTCAATCTAATCTTCTGCATCTGTTATCTGTCTTAGAACCACCTTAAATTTCCTGTGGCTCAAGGACGGAAAAAATAAATAAAAACAAAAATTCATAAAACGTAGAAGCTATGGCATATGCCTATAATCTCAGCACTTGGGAAAGTAGGAAGATTGTGAGTTCAAGGCCAGCCTGGGCCACATAATGAGTTTTAGACCAGCCTAGAATGCGCAATGACACCCTCTCTTAAAAAATTAATGAAAGTACCAAGGTGTTTTTTGCTAAATTTTCATCAAAACATAAAGTATTGAATGTAAAATGCACAAATTGAAAGTATGCAGTTTGTTGAATTATCATGCAGTGAATGTGTCTGGAAATCAGCACCAAGATCACGAAGTTTAACATTACCAGCCTTGGATTTCCTCACGCTCCTTTCCCAGGAGAACCCTCCTCTCTCTGAGGGCAGCGTTCACCCTGGCTTCTATCTAGCACGCTATTTTCTTTCTTTCATTTTATCATTTTAAATTTACTCACATGTGTATACACTGTTTGTGCCACCCCCTTCCCAACTCCCCACACCTGCTTCTAGACAAAACCTATTCTGCTCTCTTTTCCAATTTTGTTGAAGAGAAAACATAAGAGATAATAAGAAAGACATAGCATTTTTGCTAATTTGAGATAAAGATAGCTATACAGAGAGATTTCTAGCATTGCTTCCATGCACATGTGTATTACAACCTACATTGATTCATCTCTACCAGACCTCTTCACTACTTCCAGGTCACCTTCCCATAGTTTAATAGTTTAAGATTACTATATCAGCTCCTCTACAGTGAGCACATCAACCACATTCAGGTTTTAGGTTTCCTTCCCTGGCCCTATTCCTCCCATGCACTTCTCCCCTTAGTGTGTGACCCATGTCCAATAATATTACTGCATTTGTTTTGGGTCTATAATCTTCATATGAGGGAGAATATGCAATTTTTGGTCTTCTGAGCCTGACTAACCTCGTTTAAGGTGATATTCTCTAGTTCCATCCATTTACTTGCAAATGACAAATTTCATTCTTCTTCATGGCTGAGTAAAATTCCATTGTGTATAAATACCACATTTTCTTAATCCATTCTTCAGTAGTGGGGCATCTTGGCTGTTTCCATAACTTGGCTATTGTGAATAGTGCTGCAATAAACATGGGTGTGCAGGTGCCTTTGGAGTAACTTGTGTTGCATTCCTTTGGGTATATCCCTAGGAGTGGGATTGCTGGATCATAATGGCAGATCTGTGTTTAGTTTCTTAAGAAGCCTCCATTTTGTTTTCCTGAGTGTTTGTAGTATACTATTTTCTATGTGGCATCATTATTTCTGCCCATTTTTATTTAGACGTTACACAGTGTTTACTCTATGGGTCTGCATTATTTTTCACAGCTTGATGTTTTTCATGTGATATCACTTACATGATTTTGTGGAGTTGATTCCATTCATTCTCGTCTCTGTGTGGTAGTCTCATATCTGAGTACACTGTCTGTTTTACTTTGATAGACATTTGGTTATTTTTCAGCTATTATTAATAGTGCTTTTATACACATTGTGATGCCATTATTATTTTTTTCAAATAGCTTTGGAGGAGAATCTAATAGTTATTTGTGATACTAAAATACTTTAGCTATTTAAAAATGTTTCCAAATATTAAAGCTAGTTATTATGTCAGTGTCTCTAAATCTTTATTTGGTGATGTTGAGTGTGCCGTTTTCAGAGCGTCCTGTGCTGTTTGATGTTTCAGTGCTTGGCATCTGACTAGAAGGGGAGAAAATACATTCCAAGCAGAACACCACTGAGTTCTGTCAGATCATATCCTTGTCTGTGCAGCATGAAGTAGATCAAAACCAATTGAGATGAAGTGTAATTAAGTTCACACAGATTGTAAGAACTGTAAATAATGTGATCTGAGTTTTTCTTTTTATAAGAAAACAGCACATAGTCTTTTATCTGCGCATTAGGTATAAAAGTGTTTTACTCCTTGATGTCTTTTTCAAAGAAGTATTTTATTTTGGCTAAGTAAAAGGCATTTGGACTCAATGAGTTTCCTATTTGTCAACACCTTTTAAAATTCAGAATTGTGTTTGTTAAATGGTTTTCTTCGGAAGAAATTTCAGAGAAGTCATGAAATGCACTTTCCCCTTTGAGTCAGGAAAGTGTATCTATATATTAAGGATGAATCTTATTCCAATAACAAGCTGTAAATGTGCTTTTACTTATTGTTAATGTCAGATCCTAATGTCAGGATATCTTCATATTGTGAAAAAGTATTTTTTATGATACTGACCTGAATTTGATTGCCTTTGACACATTGATTATGACAATATAATAAAACAGAAGCCTCCGGGGTAAAGCAGTGCATACCTGTAACCCC